CCCAGACAAAACAGAAATTATGACCTTCTTAACACAAATCCCGCTAGAACAAACCACAAAACAACAAAATGAACTTCTGGATGCACCGTTTATGGAGGAAGAAGTAGCAGAGGCCATTAGATCCCTCCCCAAACATAAAGCCCCAGGCCCCGATGGGCTCTCAAACTATTACTATATTAAAATGGTATCACAACTAATGCCACATATTATGGAACTGTTCAACGCTGTAAAGACAGCAGGCAAATTCACACATGAAATGTTAGAAGCTTACATTCTCACACTGCCCAAACCAAATAAACCACCTACAATATGTGGCAACGTAAGGCCAATTTCACTACTAAACGCTGATGTGAAATTATATGCCAAATTGACTGCTTCTAGGCTAAAACCCCTCTTGATTAATCTAGTATCAGAGGAACGGGTGGGATTTGTACCTGGCAGACAAGTAGGGGACAATACCAGATACTGTATGGACTTAATAGACTGGGCTAACCGTCATGGCAAGAGCGGGGTACTATTAGCACTAGACGCGGAAAAGGTGTTTGACCGCCTAAACTGGACATACATGGAAGCTACACTAAAAGCCTTTGAACTCTCACACTCCTTTATTACAGACATATTGGCACTATATACATCACCCTCAGCCAAAGTTTTTAACACTAGTTACACTTCTAGAAGGTTTCAAATAACTAATGGAACAAGGCAGAGCTTAATTTTTATCTTTTGCCTAGAACCATTAATAAGACTAATCAAGAAAGATCCCCTACTCCCAGGTTTAGTAACCCCAGCAGGGGAGAAAAAAACTTGCCCTTTTCACAGATGACATCATACTCTTTCTCGCCAATCCAGTCAATTCTATACCCCATCTCTTAGATACTCTAGCCTTATACGGTCGTATTTCATACTACAAGAACAATATTAGCAAAACACAGATCCTACCCTTAAAAATAGATTCATATACAAAAGACAATATGAAGAAGCAATACCCATTTGATTGGTACAAAACTTCTATCTCCTACTTGGGCATCAAATTAACCCACTCCAGAACACACACAATCAAAGAAAACCATGAAGTGATTATTAATAAAATCTCTAAACAGATACAAACATGGGACAAATTAAATACATCATGGTTAGGTAGGATCAACTCCATCAAAATGATGATAATGACTAACATACTGTACCTATTCAGAACACTATCCATAGCCCTTCCTAATAGACTTCTTAAAAGATTCCAATCAGCCATCAATGCCCACATATGGAAAAGAAAACCCCCAAGAATATGTTTTCATTCTCTCTGGCGTCCTCCAAAAAGAGGGGGTCTAAGTGTTCCCATCATAAAACACTACTATAGAGCAACTATTTTAGCACAGGGCTTAGATATCATGATGGACAGAACAAAACCAGTCTGGCTCCAACTCGAAAAGGCCTGCGGAAACATTAAATCCCTCCCTGACATTCTGTGGACATCACGCACCCTTACCACCCTGGCAGGATTACACACCACAAAAATCCTTGTAAAATCCTGGACCTCCTGGGGCGCAACTTTGTGTCCCCCTAGGGAATTATTATACCTAGCTCCTCTATGAGCCCTCTCAGCAATCTCACCTGACCTTCCCATACACCACTGGTCGGCACAGGGGATAACCCATGTACACTCTTTATTTAATAGCGGCAGCTTCGTCTCTTTCCCAGAGCTACAGGCCTCCTATAGCCTGCCGCACTGAGATATCTTTTTATACCTAAGGGTGAAACATATTCTAATGTCTGAAGCAATAGACTACTTAGAACCTTCTTCACTCAGCATATTAGGCTACAAATGCTACACAATAGATAAAGCACTTCCCACATCAAAATTTCTGACATTATGCTATTTAGCACAAACGGACGCTAAAATCACGGATTCATTTCCCTACATGCGTAAATGGGAGACAGACTTAGGAGAGACATTCCAAATAGAGTCTGCTATTAAACATACTAAAAGATCTTCAAACAGTGTCACACATTAGGAAGCTTACTTTAAGATACTGATGAGATGGTACTTGGTCCCTAGCAGACTGAGCACAATTTATCCTACAACCACCTCAGTATGCTGGAGATGCAACAAATATAGGGGCACTATAAAACACATTTTTTGGACTGCATAAAATTAAATTCCTTTTGGACAGACACAAACAAGTTAATACACACAGTGTCCTGCCTAAAACTCCCACCTACACCAGCTAATTACTTGCTCCATCTAATACCCGATCTGGGCCATACCCCATCTAGAGCGGCGATTATCAATATTTTACTAGCCGCCAAAATAAGCATTGCCACCCATTGGAAGAGTGACATGGGCCCTAATTTGTTGGAAATACTCTGTAGAGTCAGTACATACCACCATGAAATGCAATATTCTACATTCCCTCTGTTTATGGTTTGTCTTAAAACCATAACACAATGTCACTAGTGTGTCCATTCATACATCACTCGTATCACAGTCATTGAGCATAGAACAAGATGTAGTCACAACAATAATTCTTCAAATAATGTTCATGGTGTTGATACTTATTGTCCTAGAAATTCTCCACCCAGAAACCTTTCTATCATAGATTTGTTTTTGTTTACATAATTATAATTTTGACTAAAATTCCACCTTGTAGTAATAAACTTTTCATTCAATCTGGGAAAGGTTTACTTGGAAAGAATAATTTAAATTCATTAGCATAACTGTCTGTAACGGAGCTCCTTGTACTCCGACTGAGTACCCTCCGTTGATGGATCCTCCTAGCGCTTCCTGAGGACTCCAAGCAGTGCAGCAGACACCACAACCACCGCAGACTCCGCAACCGCTGTATCTTGACTGGAGTCTCGCTGTCTTCCTTCCACCCTGGATCAGCTTCTGTCCTCCAGGACTGTGTGGGAAAGAACTCTTCCTTCCACTCCGTATGAACCTCCAGCATCCAGGACTGTGTGGTGAAGACCCCTCCTACAAGGAGAGCGTGTCAGGAACAAGCTCTTAAAAGAGCTAAGTGATTCAAGCTCAGGGGAGCATGCAGAGCATAGCAATCCCCAGTGTGATTATAACAGCTCCCTCCAATAACGAGACAAGGCTACGTTTAGAGGGATGAAGAAGAACTGTCTAAACCTTTATTTTACTTGGGATTAGTCCATATGGTCATTACATTAACAATGCGGTGAAAACTCAATAAAATTACAAACAGCCAAATGATAGCAGGCAACATACAGTGACTTATTATAATACAATGGCACATTTTTAAAGGGGTGGGGGAGACAATATTTAACAATAAATATCTCACCTGCCTGCAGAATTAGCAATATGCAAAATGCAAAACTACCCGAATATGCAAATGAACCAGTCTTGCTATTCAGGTAGTGCATATTGCTGTTGCTACCAACAGAGGGCACTAGACAAGCTCCATAGCCAAACCCACTTAGTTGGTAGCAAACATCAGCAGTACAAGAGAGCAGGCAATACATTACACAGTACACACACACTATAAACAATTACATTATATACACCCTGCACCTATAATGGATACAGGGTGACTAAAACATAAGAAATAAAGCAGCCTACATAAATAGTCTGTCTGAAGGTAGACTAAGGGCTTTAAAGCCAGATACATGAAAGAGTCATAGTCACAGGGGAGGAGGCTGGCAAGTAGGCCTCTTCAGGACCAAGTGGCGAAGGGCACTTCGTCACACTCTCTTCATTAGCATTGTGATGACTTATTAATGTAATACATGTCAACATAAAAGTAGGACTGTCCTAATGTTACCTTAACATTTGTTCTGACCAATCCGTATTCCTTAGTACACTTCAACTGACTAAATTAAAATAAACTAAAATAAACAAAACTTGGGGTCATACTGCCCAGAAACTCTTATTCCTAGTCTGTGTCTAACAAACTCAGGGAAATCATTACATCTTATAACAACTTATTCAATTTATTGGATACCGTCATATCCAGAAACCTATTCTCCCTAGTCCATACCTTTATAGACTTAGGTCAAATATAATTGTGTACTATACTCTTAACTAAACTCAATTCAATTCCTCTTAACTCCTCTTGGATCTCTGAACTCTTATATCCAAGGCATTCTTAATGTATATAATTACTTCATATTAATCAATATAAATTATCCTTCCTTAGTTTTCTTCCTTTTGTTACAATTGTTTGTTTTACTTCACCTCGATATAAACAAATTACTCATTCTTGTGAATCTATGAAATACTATTGCACTCAATCTTTGTAGTATTAAGTAACCATGATCCTTATTTTATCAACTTCATATTTTATCTACCTCTGATACTTCTCATTCTATGTATAGGTGATAATGTAATAGTTCTCTTCATAATACTATCCTTTCATAATTTTACTTTATGTGTTACACATTTATAAGTACTCTCTTTTGGTATTAATACACTCATAACTGTTAAATAACTTTTCATTGTCTGTTTTCTTCTTCATTAATATTAAGGAATTAATATTCATGTTAGTGTCAATCTTTTATTTCTTTATAAGTCTGTTAATCTTCTGTATCGAATGAACTCTGTAGAATCTTCCATCACAGTTTGCAGATCAGATTAACCCCTCTTGATTAATCTAGTATCAGAGGAACGGGTGGGATTTGTTCTAACAGTCAATGTCCAGTTGACTAAAGGAATGCTTTCCTGATTTATTGCCACAAGGATCTGTCACGCTTTACCAGATCAGTTATTTCTGTCTATTTAGTTGCTTCATCCACACAGTTGCGCAGTTCTGGACTTGGATCTGGATGATTGCCAATCTCTGCCATGTGCTTGCTTCTAGAATTCACGTTGTATCTTGTGCTTTTTGTCTCAGTTGTAGAAAATAGTCTTATACAGTCTTTGTGATTTGAAAATGTTATTTTTCTTACAAACACAGTTCTTCTGAGACAATCTAGATTCTTTTTTTCTCTTCAAGTTTGTTTTCCCAGTTCCAAAATAGCTGTGTAACTCAAATCTTCTCTCTCCCCCCTTGTAGTGGGAACAAAACTTGAATAGAAGACTGGCTGGCTGGCCAATGTAAAATCTGGTTGGAATGATCGTCACTGTTAAATCTTCTTAATTTCTTCTTGTCTTCAGTTGATTGATATATATACACGTCTTTTGTATATATAGACTTGGGCCAAATGCTCGCCACAATAATATATGTCTATATTATTGAAAAGTACTAATACGCAATCTGACTTACGGTTTCTTCAGGTTTATTCTTAGTTACGGATACATAATAAAGGATGTTACAGGATAATGGAAATTCAACAGCAGATGGTAATTGCTGAACTTCTTTACATCCTTACATCTTTACATCAAGAGAGAGAGCCAGAGAGAGAGAGCCAAGACACAGAGTGACCTCGTGTTCCTCTGTTACTAAATAGATGTGCTCATACTAACGTGAGCGTTTAACTCTAGCCATATAAGGACAAAAACCCCAAATCCACATTCCAGAGCTCTTGGACAAAGAAAGCCTTGTGATTTATTGATACCATCTGTTACTTATGTCAATCCACACATCCATATATATAATCAATAGAAACATAGAATATGCAATATTCTACAATGTCATCTTCTACAAACAACAATATGTATAAATGATACCGCAAAGAATCAAGCATACTGTACCATGAATAGCATCAAAATCTCTCAAATACCTCAACTGCAACTATGTATGTCGACAATGTTTTATGGTACACGGTTTCTGTGACGTACGCTGTTGATTATAACACCTCATGTATTTGTGTATTTGTGTATCTCATTGTTCTTTTTCCTTCACCTGTTAGAAACTGTGTATCTTAATCTTGTAAAACAATAAAATGATACACTGGAAAAAAAAGTCACATACCTGTAACGGCACCCCCAGGCATAAAAGGGGTTAAAAGCCATTTAGGAGATATTCCCTTCCAGATATACAGGCAGCTACTGTAGACACCAATCCACTGAACCGAAGAAGCATACGAATGCTCTCAAACATACAAATGCTGTAAACAGACGAATAGGAAAAAACATACGAATAGGTTTACACTCTTGTAGCAGTCGAACTGGAACAGCACACAAGTTCCCCCAAGAACGAGACAAGGCTCCGTTTTGAGGGTCAAGCAGGAACAGACAGAGCTGTGGGTTTATTGTTCTTATATACACATTCTTACACATTAGTACCAGCCACAGGGTTTTTGGAAAACAACCAATAAACACGGACAATGCACTCAGACACTCCCAAACAAAATCCTCCCCTCTGCCTGTAATGCAATTACCTTACACAATGGGTAATGTAATTATTACAGGCAGAGAAATACAGTTTATCCACATTATTCATAAATTTAAAAGTATGCATCACATTCACATAAAACGTACATTTTTCAGAATCGGCACATTCCAAATACAAACATACGTCAAAATCATACAAATTGATTCAGTGGTTCAAAAGATAGATCGTAGTCCTTTGTGACCAAATGAAGCACGGCTTTTCTGCCCAAAACCAGTTCCACAGAGTCTTCTATCCTGGAGATAATTGGGAAGTAATCCAATTATCTCCAAGGACAGAGGAAAAACTCCATTGAACACATGGCAGCAAAAGACAATAAAATACATAAAAAATATATAACTGTGCATCCATTGCGTAAAACAGGTACATTTAACATGTCCCCAGATAGCGCTTATTATTACTGATCTGAGCGCATATTATTACTGAATGGCGCTCAGATCACACACATACAGTTCAATTGCCATGTAGCCAAAGTCTTTCCCATCGTCTTTCATTAAACGAATGGGCTCCATGGCATAGCTATCTGGGGTATCACCGCTCAAACAGGGCAAGCACCGAATGACCCAGCTTTCGTGTCTTTGCAGGGGAAAATCAAGCGTTTCTACATGGGGCCATAGTCTAAAGGCAGCAGGCGGGCAACCAGTCTCCTCCAATGTACAGTGGCGAGATTGGTCTCGTCACATCTCTCCCCTTTTCCAAACAGAATAACAGGGTATCTGACCTCCTGCTGGTCAGTGCCCTGGTTAGTCCAGCAACCCACCCATAAAACACAATTCGTAGTACAGCCCACCCACAATAAATGGTTACTACACCTGAGTACGGGGAAAAGTTGTCCATGTCCAGGTGCCTCACCACAGCTGTGTGTGGGACTGGTACTCTGAATTGGTGGGTTGCGAGGTGGACAGAGACCAGCTGTACCAGCACTACCACGGAAGTAGCCTGGTGGGAGCCTGGTTGCTGGAGGGGGAGACCGACTGTCTCCCCTTTGGATACATAGCTGTGCTGCTGGAGGGGGAGACTGATCATCTCCCCTTTGGACAAAGCACCATGCTGCTGTGGGGGGAGACAGATTGTCTCCCCTTTGGCTAAACAGTCCTGTTGCTGGGGGACAGGACCGACCGTCCCTACCCCCTGTGGTGTGTGTACAGAGACTACGGTCCCATCTGCACCGGTGTGGGGCTTATCATCTCACCTTGGTGTGCTAGGCTGCCACTGGGGAGGGGGGATGAGGTTGTCCCCTTCCAGTAGAAGACTCTGCCACTGGGGAGCAGGACCGACTGTCCGTACTCCCTGTAGCTTGAAACATAGAAACATAGAATGTGACGGCAGATAAGAACCATTCGGCCCATCTAGTCTGCCCAATTTTCTAAAAACTTTCATTAGTCCCTAGCCTTATCTTATAGTTAGGATAGCCTTATGCCTATCCCATGCATGCTTAAACTCCTTTACTGTGTTAACCTCTACCACTTCAGCTGGAAGGCTATTCCATGCATCCACTACCCTCTCAGTAAAGTAATACTTCCTGATATTATTTTTAAACCTTTGTCCCTCTAATTTAAGACTATGTCCTCTTGTTGTGGTAGTTTTTCTTCTTTTAAATATAGTCTCCTCCTTTACTGTGTTGATTCCCTTTATATATTTAAATGTTTCTATCATATCCCCCCTGTCTCGTCTTTCCTCCAAGCTATACATGTTAAGATCCTTTAACCTTTCCTGGTAAGTTTTATCCCGCAATCCATGAACCAGTTTAGTAGCCCTTCTCTGAACCCTCTCTAAGGTATCAATATCCTTCTGAAGATACGGTCTCCAGTACTGTGTACAATACTCCAAGTGAGGTCTCACCAGTGTTCTGTACAATGGCATGAGCACTTCCCTCTTTCTACTGCTAATACCTCTCCCTATACAACCAAGCATTCTGCTAGCATTTCCTGCTGCTCTATTACATTGTCTGCCTACCTTTAAGTCATCAGAAATAATCACCCCTAAATCCCTTTCCTCATATGTTGAGGTTAGAACTCTATCAAATATTCTGTACTCTGCCCTTGGGTTTTTACGTCCAAGATGCATTATCTTGCACTTGGGCGCAGAGACAATGTTCCCATCTGCGCCGGTGGGGAACTTAGTATCTCCCCTCGATGGGCTAAGCTGCCGCTGGGGAGAGGGGGTAACAAGCTCCTCTCCCTTACACACTTTCAGCCGCTGGGGAGGGGAGACACTGTTCTCCACTCCCTGCATTTCACACTGCTGCTGGGGAAAGGAGACACTGCTCTCTATTCCCTGCAAATCACACTGCCGCTGGGGATCTGAGCCGACCGCCCAGCATCCCTGTAGCTTACCCTGCCGCTGGGGAGGGAGGACGCTGCTCTCCTCTCCCTGCAAGGTAAACTGCCGCTGAGGAAGGGAGACGATGCTCTCCACTCCCTGCACTTCACACTGCCGCTGGGGAAAGGAGACACGGCTCTCTATTCCCTGCAAATCAATCTGCCGCTGGGATCTGGGCTGACCACCCAGCATCCCTGTAGAGCAGGTGGAGAGACCTCGGTCCCATCTCCACCTGCCGTCTGGGGTTCCTCCCAGTAAATCTCTACAATATCTTTCCAGCTGAAGGGGTCTGGAACTGGATCTGCTGCTCTGCTTTTCTGTCGTGCCTTTTCAATGGAGTGGAACAGATGTTGGTAGTCCTGCTCCAGCTCCATCTCTCGGGTCACTAGGTGGGCCAGGTCTTGCTCCAACTCGTGAGGGTCATCCAAGTCGTACATACTCTCCCTCCACTCAAAAATGTCACGGAACCAGGTTGTGTAGAGCTCCCAAAATCAGGCTCTGAAAAAGACTCCCATAACAAACCAGGGCCATCGAACTCCTCTCCCTCTGGCTTGTCATGCTCGGCTGTCCAGCAAGATTGGTCTTGTCACAATACCGATTCAAAGTTGGGATTGTGACGCATGGACTGTCTATGACTATGGTGTCAGCCATAATATTAAAAATATTGTGAATTGGAAGTTATTCTTTAAGATTATGTTTACTTATCCCTTATAATAAACACATATATCTGTGTGGTGTGAAACAATAAAATGTGGAGATCTATCCAACAGGGCACCTCCATTTTAACTTTCAGAAAATCATTGTTAGAAGCCTTGTTATTTAGACCTGGCAATCAACAGAGAGAAAGCATACAGAGAAAAGGACAAACCAAACAGTGTTTATGTTTATCCTTTTCATTTTTTATATGTTTTCTAGGTTTATTTGGAACTAATAAATACAGTCATTTGATAACATGGGGGTAGGAACCAGGGGGGGATAGGTTATAGAGAAATCCCCCCCAGCTCCGCCGGCCACGGGTGGCTCCATCAGGGAACCGCACGCACTGCAGACTTGGAAGGGGAGCACCTCCCCTTCCGCGCAGGAGCGCCGGGTGTCACGTGACTACCCAGCGCTCAGTCTGACACTGCGCCCACCAGACGTCCAGAGGTCCCCCTGCTATGTCAGGTAAAAGGGGGGGGGAACAACAGTTTGTAGGGGGGAGAGCAGAGCCGGTCACCTCTGAAAAAAAAACAAAAAAAAAACAACAGCTGCCTGAGCATTGTTAGTGTTAATTAATGGAAGGGTTAAAGAAGGGGCGAGGGGGGAGGTAGAAAAATGAATGTAAGCGGTTAGGGTGTCTACTAATATGGATGGGAGGAGGGGGAAGGTAGAAAAATAATTGGAATGGTTTAGGGGGCTTCTAATATGGATGGGAGGAGGTAAACAATAATTGGAAGGGGTTAGGGGGGCTACTAATAAGGATGGGGGAGAGGGGTAGGTAGAAAAATAATTGGAAGGGTTTAGAGGGGCTACTAATATGGATGGGAGGTGAGGGAAGGTAGAAAAATAATTGGACGGGGTTAGGGGAGTACCTTCTAATATGCATGGAAGGGGTTAGGGAAGT